TCGGGTAATAAATTAAATATTAGCGGAGATGGTAAAAATGGGGACCTGTTTAGTTACTTTTCACCAACCCGGTATAATGACGAACTAACTCAATGCAGATTAGTTATGTTGTGTGCATTATTATTTCATAATATATTGTATAATGACGAACTACCGTATATCTCCGAATATAAGCAACCGAAATTTTACAAATTTTTCAAGTCAAAAGTGAAGGAGTTGCTTATATTCAGGGTAATTTTATTAGTAAAACATAATAACTTTTGCCAAATTTTTAGCTCCAAAATCTGGGGGTTGCTTTTATTCGGGAGGTTGCTTATATTCGGAGATATACGGTAACCCTTAACGCCGATTAATTGTATACATGTTAATAATTTGTCGTTTATAAATTGGTAGATAGCTGCATACCGATTGTTCGATTGCAATCGATTGTACGTACGCGATTGAATGTGATTGTATGTAATTGTGCGATTTATTTTTAAATTTAAATAATGTAATATTTAAATTTTGTTTCAGGTGTACTTCACAGTACTTCGAGTAAACAAAGGTAATTTTTTAAAGTATATCTTAGTAGATTTAAAATTGCAAAATGACTCTTAGCGATGATTGAAATTATCTTACTCATGGTGATTATAACAAACAGGAATTTGCAAACTCCGAACATAAGTTTGTAAAAAAACACTTAAAAAATATGTAACAAATGGCATTGTATAAAAATACGTTTAAGGAAACAGATCGTTTAATAATAACGATATAAAAGTAAAATTTATCTATATCTTTATAATAAAAATTCTATATTTTCTTTTTATATAATTCTTTATATTTTATCTAGATCTTTAAGTAGTTATTTTTTTCTAACTTACAGCATTTCATAAAGAGTTCTTCCTATCGTGAAGTTCCTCATACTTATATTTATATATTTGTTAGTCTAGTTGGATTATTAATCGGATGATGCCGAGAATTTGAATTATTTTAATATAAAATTTAAAAAAAAATTGTTGAGCTATTTTTTTAGCTTTTTTTTAAAGTTAGGTTAGAATTTAGGGTTAGAGTTTATAATAAAAGAGTATATGTGGATTTTAGTAGAGTTTATATTTTCAAATTGAGACCCAAATTCTCAGCATTATCCGATTCCAAGCTTCATCCCCGTCATTGATTTTTCATAGCCAATTTATGGAGATGTTACTGATAATGTGTAACTGCCATTGGTCATTATATTAACCAAAATAGCTAACGTTAATGACTTTAGAAAAAATTGTATTTTTAAGTATAAATTTTAATGCTTATTTCTCTAAAATATGCATATAATTACTCATTTATCGTTATATAATTAGCTTAAGGACAAAAGCAGTATTCACATGCTTAATGTAAAAGTAGCAAATGTCGCATGCAGTAGAGGTGTAGGAGTTTCGTACTGTATTTTTTTTTTATTAATTGCTATACAGTACCGTACACTTTATATATATGTTGTAGGTGGATTCAGAATCCTGTGGATTCAGAATCAACTTGAGTGAATTTTGAGTCTCAAAACAACTAAAGTAAAAATAGAATTTTTTTATCATTATAACATTAAATATGCTCTCTATTTATACACTTAATATTATGGGACGACAGACGCTTCCACCGTATACATCTACAAGAACTTTTTTTTAATTAATCTTATAATCACATGTTGTGCCAGTTATGTAGAAGCAGACTACATTCTTGGTTTTTTGTACATTAATAATTTGTCTTGATCAACTTCAAGCGTCCCATATTCTGTTGAGCCAGTAGTATACTTTATCAAGTATTCCATTTTACATCACAAGGGTTATGTTGCATTTGATAATTTTTGATTATTTTGCAGGATAAGATAGATCGGTAATGACGTTATAATCTATTTGAATTGCAACACATGCGTGGCATTAAATAACAGTTCTCAACTCCCATAGCTGAAAGAATTTTGAATCCATATATCGACCTTTTGGAGTTCCCAAATTGTATTAGTAAGCTCATGTAGTACTGCAATAATAAGTTCGTGAAATAAAAATTTTACGTCTGACAAGTTATTTTTTCAAAACTTATTAACTAATTCGTTAAAAATTTTTGTCTTAAAAGAATATTCTTGGGTTGACATTTTAACTTGAAAACTTTTTCAAATACAGTACGATTCTTTAAATATGTATGATTTAAGATTGATATTAAGATCCGTAATTTTCTGATCTTTATTGATAAATATCGTGCTTAACCCAATTGAACTGTATCTTGGTTAAAAGAAAGTTTTATTAAGCAAAAGAATATAGAATAAAATGTTTTAAATGGTACAAATATACAGCGATAAAGTTCAAAGAACCACTGTCATCATAATGCAGAATTATTTCAAAATTTGTGCCCTTAGATGTAATTATTTTTGTTTTTGACCCTTATTTGTAATTATTTTCATTTTTCAGGCCTTTATATGTAAATTCCCCTAAATATTATACTACATATTTGTATTATTTTTTAATCCTTAATATTACTATAATATATTGTCGAATATATATATATATATTTATGAAGTAAAGTTATATTCATAACACCGTGTTATATAACACCTTTTGCAATATCTCAAAAACGTACTAAGTAAATGCTCTAAGTAAAAATGATCAGCGCCCCTGAAAACCTCATGGGAACTGAAATTGGGACCTATTAGGACTTTATATCTAATATATATTGTATAATTAAAAATCCCTATTTATTTTAAAACCGGACCCTAACCCTAAGTAAGACATATAGGGTGTTATAATAACACGGTGTTATGAATATAATATTTCATTTATGAATATAAAATAGTAGCTTGTGAATACTTATAGCTATTATACTATTCTCATGAAAACAGTATTTGGTTCTGAATTTTTGAACATTGGTTAAAGCCTAGCTTTATATTTCCTGAGCAGTTCGATAAGAACTACTACTATTAGTAGCTTCAGAAGTGGCAATAGTACTACTTCGACTATTTAAGTTATATGAAGATGAATTGGTTCTTAATGCTTCTTCATGAGGCTTTAAAAATTGTTCTTTAAAAATTCTACCAGCTAGCCCAATAACTCCACTAGTTGCTGAAAATGAACCACTGACTACTAAGTAAATCTTATCTTCAGAATATTTGAAGGCAAAGATGGCAAACAATACAGTGAAAAAAGCACTTGCATATTCAAAATAATAAATAAATTTAAGTATTCTTTCGGTTTGGTTTAAGTCCAAGCAATTTACCCTTCTTTTCAGGTAGGTAATAGATTGTTGGCAAGTTCGCTTAAGGAAAGAAATACTTGCCAAAAAAAAAAATAAAAGAGGAAAATGAAATTAAAAAAAATTGGTATATGTATTGTAAATATTAAAATAATTACTAAAAGAATTTCGTTATAAATAACTGCATGAATGCGCTCCTCCATAAAATCAAAAATACGAAAAAAATCAAAAATGTCTAAGTAATGCTAATTTGGCCTATTAACAAAAAACTACCAAAAAAAAGAAATAATATATACTTTAAATGCTTTCTAAAATCAAAATAGTGATCTAAAATATAATAATTCATTAATCCCAAAAAGACTAGAGTGAAAATAAAAGGAATGCCAAGAATTGTGAGCATGAAATAACCTGCTCTAGTAAAAACAAAATTTTGACTAACTAAAATTATAGTTAATATATAGGCCAAATAGAAAAAACCAACAAGAAATTTCTCCCAATGTTTTTTAATTAACTCTTTCATTACTAGCATAGACATGATTAATTATATATAATTCTTAGTTTTTCTGCTTAGTGACTTTTCTTATAATTTTTAATTTTTCTGCTTAGTGGCTTTTTCTATTACTTTGTTTCTATTTCTTTTGGTGCTATTTTTTTTATATCCTAAGTTGGTCAAAGTTTCGTTTGCTATAAATACAGTTGTTATAATTTTTGGAATTTTCATACACTACACAAAGTCGCGTAATAATTACTAATTTAACAATTATAACATTTTATTTGATGTCTATTTCAGGTTATTTCAGGTTATTTCTAAATTTATTCGAGTTGATCTTATCGTTATGTTGGATATATTTTGGTGTATCCTTTGATGTATCCCCGTGATCTGCCACCTTAATCAAAAAGGAAATTGTTTATTCAAACATTTATAAATTGGACGTACGTACTGTACGTACCATGATACTTATACTAGGGTATTAAGTATCACAGTTCCAGACTAATCTAGTGTTGCTCTAGCGGATCTTATCATTTTTCTGACAACCACTTTCCCGACAATGTCAAAATCTTGACAAGTTAACCCGCATTAGGTTAGGGTTAGTATTACTTTCAGTCAATTCTGGTCGGGATTTAGATTGTCAGAAAAATGTTGTCAGAAAAATAATATAGACCCCTGCTCTAGTACTGGTCAAGTGCTGTTCTTCCAAAATTTTTTATCGATTTTATATTATATTTATAGAAAGATGGTAGGGCTTTGCATTTCATAAATATATATTTTTTTTTTAAGTAAAAATTTTTACTATAAGCAAAAAGTTGGGGTTCGTAATTTTTTTTTTTGGATTTTTAAATTATAAAAATCGAACGAATAGATTAGTCGCACAACCAAAATTCAAGGATAGAATAGGCCACATTTACAAAAGTTTCCTAAAATCACCAAAATTCTACTAATAAAGCATTAACACATGTACTAGATAAAGTTACTCAGAAGTTAATTTTGCCATAATATACATCATGTATATTTTTTTAATAAAATTATATGTGGTCCTATAAAAGATATTGTTAGAGGCAGAAGCGCCGTGACTGTTATGCATGAAATTTGTCGTGAAATGGTGCTCCGGGACCCAAGATGATTCGAGCGCAATCCCCTACAGCAAGTCCGTGAAAATATACCAAAGTCAAATCTCACATTGAAAAGTAATGCCATAGATCTCATAGAGCAAAGCCACCTTTCCGATTTGGTTTGATAGTTGTCAAGGTAATATTACCTTGTCGGGTTAAGAGTGTGGCGTGGTAATATAGCGCGATTGAGTTAATGGAAGGGAAAATGCTAGGATAATAAAATGGTGAGATGTTTCTTCGATTTTAGTCTTCTCTTCTTCCTTACAAAAAAGCTATAAAAAGCCCCTTAGTTTTAAAATGTAAAATGTAATAGACTAACTCTTGAACCTTTAAAGAATCAAGATAATAAAAAACTCAACTAAATTCTTAGACCGCCAAATCATTCCTGCCTCTATACGTTGAGTAACGTTTCGCAATGACCCTAAATTGAAGCGATACTTCATTGTGTTGTCTATTTTTTTTTAGTGTAGGTGTCGTAGTGGTCCCTCCTGCAACAATTTAATAAAATTTTTATATAGATTTACACTTAACCCTCGTTAATATCAACTTCATTAGGCCATTTAAAGTTGAATAGATTTCCTCTTAATTAGTTGTCCTTCCGGAAATTAAACAAACTAATCACAATGCAGGATAATCTTCAGTAAGCATGTGATTAAATTTGCCAATTAAGATTTAATCAAATGTATTATATATGTGTTTAAATTTTTCTTCCCTTGAGACTGAGCTCAAAATGTCTACGTTAACGTCTATGGTACTGGGAGTCTATAATGCCAATCGCGGGAATGTTTCAATTTTCTCGTGATTGTGATTGACCATAAATGAATGGATTTCGACATACTGCACTGAAGATATAATGCTTTTGTAATACTTTTTTAAATTGCTAAAACCGTTATGTAAAAATTTTTTAAAACAATTTACAAATAACTTTATACACAAGACTAAACTTTACAAAGTTACGGTCAATTTTTTTAAAAAAATACATTTATGAAGATTTATAGCGATTTGAAGATTGGTTCTTGTTTTAAATTGCTATAGTTTTTTTATAGAATTTCCTAAAAAAGTGGCCTGTAACTTAGTAAAGTTTAGTTATATGTATGAAGTTATTGGTAAATTTTTTTGAAAAAAAACTTTTTTTGCTATATTTTCGGCGAAATTCGTTCTTTATTGGTCAATCACAATCATGAGAAAATTGGAACATTCTGTGATTGGCATAGGTTGGAATCGGATTTATTTTCATATGTAAACTGGTTATAATCGATTTTAACATATGATGGTTCCAAACTCTAGATTGACGATTAAAGACTTCCGGCACCATAATCAACATTGAATAACTTATTTAAAAAAGTTTTTAGATAAAAAACATAAAAAGAATTTGATGATATATATGGAAAAAAAAGTTTTTTTTCAAAAAAATTTACCAATAACTTCATACATATAACTAAACTTTACTAAGTTACAGGCCACTTTTTTAGGAAATTCTATAAAAAAACTATAGCAATTTAAAACAAGAACCAATCTTCAAATCGCTATAAATCTTCATAAATGTATTTTTTTAAAAAAATTGACCGTAACTTTGTAAAGTTTAGTCTTGTGTATAAAGTTATTTGTAAATTGTTTTAAAAAATTTTTACATAACGGTTTTAGCAATTTAAAAAAGTATTACAAAAGCATTATATCTTCAGTGCAGTATGTCGAAATCCATTCATTTATGGTCAATCACAATCACGAGAAAATTGAAACATTCCCGCGATTGGCATTATAGACTCCCAGTACCATAGACGTTAACGTAGACATTTTGAGCTCAGTCTCAAGGGAAGAAAAATTTAAACACATATATAATACATTTGATTAAATCTTAATTGGCAAATTTAATCACATGCTTACTGAAGATTATCCTGCATTGTGATTAGTTTGTTTAATTTCCGGAAGGACAACTAATTAAGAGGAAATCTATTCAACTTTAAATGGCCTAATGAAGTTGATATTAACGAGGGTTAAGTGTAAATCTATATAAAAATTTTATTAAATTGTTGCAGGAGGGACCACTACGACACCTACACTAAAAAAAAATAGACAACACAATGAAGTATCGCTTCAATTTAGGGTCATTGCGAAACGTTACTCAACGTATAGAGGCAGGAATGATTTGGCGGTCTAAGAATTTAGTTGAGTTTTTTATTATCTTGATTCTTTAAAGGTTCAAGAGTTAGTCTATTACATTTTACATTTTAAAACTAAGGGGCTTTTTATAGCTTTTTTGTAAGGAAGAAGAGAAGACTAAAATCGAAGAAACATCTCACCATTTTATTATCCTAGCATTTTCCCTTCCATTAACTCAATCGCGCTATATTACCACGCCACACTCTTAACCCGACAAGGTAATATTACCTTGACAACTATCAAACCAAATCGGAAAGGTGGCTTTGCTCTATGAGATCTATGGCATTACTTTTCAATGTGAGATTTGACTTTGGTATATTTTCACGGACTTGCTGTAGGGGATTGCGCTCGAATCATCTTGGGTCCCGGAGCACCATTTCACGACAAATTTCATGCATAACAGTCACGGCGCTTCTGCCTCTAACAATATCTTTTATAGGACCACATATAATTTTATTAAAAAAATATACATGATGTATATTATGGCAAAATTAACTTCTGAGTAACTTTATCTAGTACATGTGTTAATGCTTTATTAGTAGAATTTTGGTGATTTTAGGAAACTTTTGTAAATGTGGCCTATTCTATCCTTGAATTTTGGTTGTGCGACTAATCTATTCGTTCGATTTTTATAATTTAAAAATCCAAAAAAAAAAATTACGAACCCCAACTTTTTGCTTATAGTAAAAATTTTTACTTAAAAAAAAAATATATATTTATGAAATGCAAAGCCCTACCATCTTTCTATAAATATAATATAAAATCGATAAAAAATTTTGGAAGAACAGCACTTGACCAGTACTAGAGCAGGGGTCTATATTATTTTTCTGACAACATTTTTCTGACAATCTAAATCCCGACCAGAATTGACTGAAAGTAATACTAACCCTAACCTAATGCGGGTTAACTTGTCAAGATTTTGACATTGTCGGGAAAGTGGTTGTCAGAAAAATGATAAGATCCGCTAGAGCAACACTAGATTAGTCTGGAACTGTGATACTTAATACCCTAGTATAAGTATCATGGTACGTACAGTACGTACGTCCAATTTATAAATGTTTGAATAAACAATTTCCTTTTTGATTAAGGTGGCAGATCACGGGGATACATCAAAGGATACACCAAAATATATCCAACATAACGATAAGATCAACTCGAATAAATTTAGAAATAACCTGAAATAACCTGAAATAGACATCAAATAAAATGTTATAATTGTTAAATTAGTAATTATTACGCGACTTTGTGTAGTGTATGAAAATTCCAAAAATTATAACAACTGTATTTATAGCAAACGAAACTTTGACCAACTTAGGATATAAAAAAAATAGCACCAAAAGAAATAGAAACAAAGTAATAGAAAAAGCCACTAAGCAGAAAAATTAAAAATTATAAGAAAAGTCACTAAGCAGAAAAACTAAGAATTATATATAATTAATCATGTCTATGCTAGTAATGAAAGAGTTAATTAAAAAACATTGGGAGAAATTTCTTGTTGGTTTTTTCTATTTGGCCTATATATTAACTATAATTTTAGTTAGTCAAAATTTTGTTTTTACTAGAGCAGGTTATTTCATGCTCACAATTCTTGGCATTCCTTTTATTTTCACTCTAGTCTTTTTGGGATTAATGAATTATTATATTTTAGATCACTATTTTGATTTTAGAAAGCATTTAAAGTATATATTATTTCTTTTTTTTGGTAGTTTTTTGTTAATAGGCCAAATTAGCATTACTTAGACATTTTTGATTTTTTTCGTATTTTTGATTTTATGGAGGAGCGCATTCATGCAGTTATTTATAACGAAATTCTTTTAGTAATTATTTTAATATTTACAATACATATACCAATTTTTTTTAATTTCATTTTCCTCTTTTATTTTTTTTTTTGGCAAGTATTTCTTTCCTTAAGCGAACTTGCCAACAATCTATTACCTACCTGAAAAGAAGGGTAAATTGCTTGGACTTAAACCAAACCGAAAGAATACTTAAATTTATTTATTATTTTGAATATGCAAGTGCTTTTTTCACTGTATTGTTTGCCATCTTTGCCTTCAAATATTCTGAAGATAAGATTTACTTAGTAGTCAGTGGTTCATTTTCAGCAACTAGTGGAGTTATTGGGCTAGCTGGTAGAATTTTTAAAGAACAATTTTTAAAGCCTCATGAAGAAGCATTAAGAACCAATTCATCTTCATATAACTTAAATAGTCGAAGTAGTACTATTGCCACTTCTGAAGCTACTAATAGTAGTAGTTCTTATCGAACTGCTCAGGAAATATAAAGCTAGGCTTTAACCAATGTTCAAAAATTCAGAACCAAATACTGTTTTCATGAGAATAGTATAATAGCTATAAGTATTCACAAGCTACTATTTTATATTCATAAATGAAATATTATATTCATAACACCGTGTTATTATAACACCCTATATGTCTTACTTAGGGTTAGGGTCCGGTTTTAAAATAAATAGGGATTTTTAATTATACAATATATATTAGATATAAAGTCCTAATAGGTCCCAATTTCAGTTCCCATGAGGTTTTCAGGGGCGCTGATCATTTTTACTTAGAGCATTTACTTAGTACGTTTTTGAGATATTGCAAAAGGTGTTATATAACACGGTGTTATGAATATAACTTTACTTCATAAATATATATATATATATTCGACAATATATTATAGTAATATTAAGGATTAAAAAATAATACAAATATGTAGTATAATATTTAGGGGAATTTACATATAAAGGCCTGAAAAATGAAAATAATTACAAATAAGGGTCAAAAACAAAAATAATTACATCTAAGGGCACAAATTTTGAAATAATTCTGCATTATGATGACAGTGGTTCTTTGAACTTTATCGCTGTATATTTGTACCATTTAAAACATTTTATTCTATATTCTTTTGCTTAATAAAACTTTCTTTTAACCAAGATACAGTTCAATTGGGTTAAGCACGATATTTATCAATAAAGATCAGAAAATTACGGATCTTAATATCAATCTTAAATCATACATATTTAAAGAATCGTACTGTATTTGAAAAAGTTTTCAAGTTAAAATGTCAACCCAAGAATATTCTTTTAAGACAAAAATTTTTAACGAATTAGTTAATAAGTTTTGAAAAAATAACTTGTCAGACGTAAAATTTTTATTTCACGAACTTATTATTGCAGTACTACATGAGCTTACTAATACAATTTGGGAACTCCAAAAGGTCGATATATGGATTCAAAATTCTTTCAGCTATGGGAGTTGAGAACTGTTATTTAATGCCA